GCGCGCTGCCTGGGGCGGCGGCGGCGGCTGCTGCCCTGCTGCGGTCTGCGGCGGCGGCGGCGGCGGCGGCACTGCTCCTGCTGCGAGCTGCACGTTGGGGAACGGCAGCGGCTGCAGAGTGGCCTGGGGCATCGCCGCCTGAGGCCAGGCATGCCGCGGAGGCGTGTACGGCATCACGATCACTTGCGGCTGCTGCTGCGGCTGCTGCTGCTGATGATGCTGCTGGAGCGTGCGCACGACCTCCTGCGCCGCCTCGTGCGCCGCGGGTGCTGCCGCAGCTTGCCTTAGCGTGTCCATCATGTCAGCATTCGGCGGGGCTGGGCCAGTTTTGCGGAGGTGATCTGGCGGTGGAGCGGCTGGCGGGCGGGGGCCATACTTGGGCTTCGGTTTCAGCGTTAGCGGCGGCATCGCTGGCGGGCTCTTCGGCGAAGGCTTCGGGAAGCAGGGGAACGCGGCGTCGCCAGGGTGACGCGCGGGAACCGTGTCCACCTCGAAATGTACGATGGGGGCCCGCCATGGGCCTGCAGTCTTGGGGCCCGTGGTTTTCGGCCTCGGGGGCGCGAGGATGCGCCCGCGCTCAGCGATCTCTGAGGCCTCGCGCTGCTCGATGTGCTGCCACCGCCCAGGAACGCCCTCCTGTGCGGGAGGGCGCCCCTGCACAGGATGGCAAGAAGGAGCTAACAAAGCAAACCGCCCTCAGCTAGTTGCAAGCCGATCGCGGCCCGCGGCCGCTAGGTGCCGCGCTCCTCTCTCTTCCTGCCCTTGTTGTTCTTCTTCGCGCCCTGCGTCTTGTTCGGGAGCTCATAGAAGCCGAAGGTTGCGATGTGGCGGCGGTTGGCTCTGCTCCAATCCTGGCACTTCAGCGAGAGGCACAAGCCGCTGCCGATGTATTTCATCTCTCCGCAATGCCTGCACTTGCTTGGCGGGCGGCGCAGGCGCATGCCGAAGGGGGCCGTGCGCAGCCCGCCAAGCTGCTCATCCGCCCCGTCCCCCTCGCCGTCGCCCGCGAGGTTGACGCCGCCGCCCTCGGGGTCGTCGCCGCGCTCGCGGCCGCCCCCGCCAGGCGGGCCGCCGCCAGGGGGGGCATCTCCCCCAGGCGGCGCCACGCGCCGGCCGACGTCCATCGCCTGGCGGATCTCTCTCTCCTTCCTCCTCCTCCTCCTCCTCCTCCCCTCCTCCTCCTCCCCCCCCTCCCCCCTCCCCCCCCCCCCCCCCTGCGGCCCTCTGCCCGTGCTGCCAGCGTTCTCTCCCTCTCCTAATGCAATCGCCTTGCTGGTCAAGGCCAGCAGCATAGCCAAGGGGGGCGTGGCTGCTGCTGGCGGCATGCCTCGCGGCGGCCTCGCTGCCCGGGCAGGCCCGCCCTGGGCCCTCGCGCGCCCTGTCTGGGCCCTCGGCGGCCTCAGAGCCGAAGCGTCTTCAAGCAGGATCAGTCTGGAGCTCTCTCTCCCCGGCGCCCACTTTCTCCCTTCCCAGCGCCCTCCTGCACAGGAGGGGGGGGGGGGGGAGGGGGGAGGGGGGGGGGGGCAAGCCGTCGCAACGCTTCCGCATAACACTAAGTTGAAAAAGCTGTTGGCTGAAAACACGCTACCAGTGTAGACATAACCATATCTACGATACATATATAACCATATCTACGATACATATGCACATATATATATATATATATATATATATATAACTGATATGCATTGAGCGCACATGTTTGCGGCAATGCGCGCGTGCGCGCGCGCGTGCGCGCGAGTGCGCGGGCGCGCGCGGTCGCCGTCGCCGTCGCCAACGGACGCTCGTCGCCGCCCCGCCGCCGCCGAACCTCGCCTGCATGGCGCGCATATGCGTATTCATGTGCGCCCATATGCGCCGCCCCCGAAATGTCAAGTTCGCTTGCAGTCGGCCTGCCGCGCCAGCCGCCGAGCAAGAACGGCCCGGCGCCGCATTCGCTCCAGCGAATCTATAGCGCGCACCGCGCGGCATCCCTCAAAGAGAATCCAGGATCCCGTTGCCCTTCCGCTTGCACAGGGGTCGGTTGTAGCCGCGTAAACGCGAGCCCCGCCAGGGGGCCTCCTGCGGGGCTGTCTATGAGGCCAGGACGCGCGTGAGGGCTGCACCGAAATGCTCCCCATTGCGGCGGAGATCGGCGCCAGCAGCTTACTTTTGTTCTCATGCAGCAATTTCGCGAGCTCCTCCGCCGCCTTCATCTTCTCCCCCTTGCTGTAGCGGTCGGATTTCTTGCCGATAGAGCACGCCTGACGCTCGTTGCCAAAATTATCCCGCGCGGCGCTGCACCCGCCCCTCTCGCACCGCATCGCGGCGCATTTCCGCTCGGGGGCAGCCGCTGCAGCGGGCTTCGCCTTCTTGACCGCGAGCGCCTCCAATTCCTCCACCTCGACCTCGTCGGGCTCGGGCTGCCCCCCCCCCCCATCGTCGCCCTCGGTGGCGGCGCGCTCCTTCTCGCCCCGAGCCCCTGCAGGCTTCTTCGCGGCGGCGGCGGGTCTCTTGAGAGGCCCGCCCGTTCCCTTCGTCTTCCACTTGGACCGCGTCTCGCACATGGCATTCGGCACCTCCGTCTCCTTGTCGTCTCCGTGCACTTTGGCCGTGCACATGCCGTCGGGCCCTGGCGCCAACTTGTACTCCGCGGTCGTCGCGCCGCTCTGCCCTATCAGGGGCGCGCGGTCGTAGTCGACAGTGAAAATCTCGAACTTATCGTTATTCTTCTTCTTGTCGCCCGCCTCGGCGGGGGGGTTCTTCCTGGGGGCGGCGGCGCCGCCAGGCGAGGACGCGATGCTGATGGGGTCGCTCAGATGTGGCCTCGAGATCCTCGCGTTCAGCGGGGTGCCCGTCGGAGCCTTCGCGTGGTACGCCTTGTAGATAGATCCTGGGCCCATCGCGGACCCGCTGGCTGGGGTGCTCGGAGGCCGCGCGCGCGACGGTGATCTGCTCCTGCTGGGGGCCCTCGCCTGCGCTTTCCTATAGCTGCCTGCCTGCAGCCTCCCAATCTCACCGACCTGCTTCACTGCGGGGTGCAACCTTGATCCGTCAGCGGCCCCCCTCCACTTGGCGAGGGCGTGCGAAAGAGCAGCCGAAGGCTGCCTCGCATACATGCTGGCGCCATCTCTGGGCGCGCCGAGCTTGTGGGCGATCGCATCTCGCAGTTGAGGCTCTGAGATCCGCTGCGCGATCTGAATGGCACCGCCCAAGAAAGCCATGTTGTTGGCGACCGCGTCATCCGTGTCATACTGGAAAATCTTAATTGCAAATATCTCCTTCTGGCATGACTTCACCCAAATTCTCCATGCTCCCCACCGAAGCCGCGTTCTTCACCCGTTCCTCGGCCATGATACGACGCGCAAGACAAAAATGCGATATTGGATAAAGATTGGATGGGCTGGGGCCGCGACGGCTATGCGGATCGCGCGGTTTCCTGTGCCTCCTCTGTTCCCTCCTGTACAGGAGGGGCGACGGACCCGACGCCGGCGATTTCTGCGATTTTTGGAAAATCCTGTTTGCGCTAATCAGGAAAAGATTGTTTGCCTTAATTAATAAAGGAACTAAATTCCGAATTCGCTCAGACGCGACCCTCAAGGGGGGGCCCGAGCGGCGCGGGAGCGACGACCGCCGGGCGAAGCCGCGAGCAACGGACGCGGCGGCGAGACGCCCCGGACGCCCCAGAAGTCTCGCTGAGATGCGCGGGGGGCGCGAGAGAGGCCCCGGGCGACGCCCGCGGCGAGGGCGAGGGGGCAGGCCCGTCGACGGGGGGCGGAGGGCCACCAGCTATCCAGGGCAAGGGCGCCCCGGGGGGCCCGGCGCAGACCAACCGCCCCAGCGGGGCGCGCGACGGGCGGCATTGGGCGCGAGGCCAGAGCGGCCGCTGGGGAGGCCGCGAGTTGCGCGGGCGGGGGGCCAGGCGAGCAGGGAACCGCGGGCGAGGGGGGCCGCCCGCAGTGAGAGCTGCGCTGAAACATGCAGGAGGCAACTCACGGCCGCAAGTTGAATGAAACACGAAGAATGCGAGTTGAAAGCGACTAATGGCCGCAGGTCTGGAAGAGAGGAAGCGCGGCACGCAGCGCCTGTGGCAGACGAGGAGCGACTAACGGTCGCGTGACGGGTGGGCGACGGAAGCCGACGGGGAAAGGCCGGGGGGGGACCCCGCAGAGGGGGTAGCCGGAAGACCTGCGCCCTGGGCCGAAGAGTTCCCCCGCGGCCTCGCACGCGGGTCTGGCAAGCCAGGGCGGGCGGCAGCAGAAGGCAGAAGGGCGCCCGGGGAGGGGCCCGTGACCATCACGCGGCAAAGGAGAGGCCCGAGCGGCGCCCTGCGCGGGAGGCCGCCGGGCGGGCGCCGCGGGGGGCAAGCTCCGCGGCGAGGCGCGCTGGGCGCCCGGGCAGTCTCGCAGCGGGAGACAGGGGGGGGCGCCGAAGAGGCCACCACGCACCCAGATGGACGTCCTGGGAAGCCGGGCGCGGGCCGACAACCCCATGCTGCGCGCGCGCCAGGCGGCGCTGGGCGCGAGGCCAGGGCGGCCGCCGGGGGGCCGCAAGCGCGGGCGCGGAGCCAAAGGGCGGAGAGGAAGGCGCCCGAGCATGGGCTTCGCGGGCGCAGGGGGCGGCAGGAAGCTGGCGCCGGCGCGACCAACGGTCGCAAGTTGGGTGAGGTTGCGACGAATCGCAATATGAAGGCGACAAACGGTCGCGCGTCTGGCGACAGGGGGAACGCGGCAGGTGTGGAAGGGGAGCGGAAGAGGGGGATAAAGCCGCCTGGATGGGCCCACCGCCGTACCCAGGGCCGTTGAGCGCTCGCGGCGCGGCTGGTAGCCCCCTGGCCTGGCTGTCAAGAAGAGCTGGCCGCGCGATAATCATTGCCTTTGCCGTTGCGAGCGGCGCTTCTCCCTTTCCCCCGACTGGCGAACTTGTCGCGGGCAGCGGGCCACTTGGCCGGGGGCTGAAGGGCCTTGTCCATCGCCAAGGGCTGCAGCTATGTTGGCGCCACGTCCAGAGAAACGCCTCGCAGGATCCAGGGCCCTGCCCTGGGGGGCCTGCGCGGGCGAACCCCCCCTGGGGGGGGGGGCGCGCTTGGGCCCATTGGTGCCAAAGGGCACTGAAGTAATCCCCGAGCTCTCTGCAGGCGCCTCACTGCGGAAGCGATGCCCCCGCCGCCAGCGGGGGAAAGTCGGGCCTCGTCCAGAGGGGCCTTGTTCACGCAACGACCGGTGTCGGGGTCGGTTAGGTTACTCGAGGGGGCGGCGCTGGGCCACGGCGAAGCCCGATCGCCACTGCGAGGCCGCCGGATACGGGCGGGGCCCCGAGATTCACCGCGGAGAGTGGTGCCCCAATTGGTCCAGTCTGTCCAACCCCTCCAGTTGCGACTGTAGCGTTGGCGATTGGAGTGCCTCCACGAGCAGTTGTTGCCCCAATTGCCTCCTTGATTGCCCGCGTCGTGCGTGGCAATTTCGCCCCGGGGCTGTCCCTGGGGGGCTTTGGGCGTGGGGGGCGCGGCCCTGCTGCTGGAGGGGCCGCCAGCATCCCCGCCGCCGCCCGCGCGGGGGCGGGCATCCTCGCCGGGCCCTGCAGCCGGTGATCTTGGGCTGCATATATCGAGAGCCTGATGGTGGACGATGGGCGGCGTCTCCAGCCGGCGGGGGCGGGGTGGAACTGGGGGTCGGGCCGAGCTCGACGACTGCCTGCGCCCTGACTGGCGGCGCAGGGGGATCGGGGGCAGGCGGGGCATCGGGCGCCTCGGCCGAGGAGGCGTCGGAAGCCTCGCGAAGGACCGGCAGAGCGACGCCGTCGCATGCGGGGGAGCTCAGTGATGCGCAGACCTCGGGTAGAGAAGTCAGAGGCCCGAGGCAGTGCGCCGTCGGCATGGCGCGCTGAATGGTCGGAGTCGGCGCTGCGTCCTCTTGGGGAGGCTGGGCTGGGTTCGGCGGATCGGCGACCGCGCGGCGGGCGCGCGGACTGCGGGGGGGCAGCCGGGCAGGTCAGCGGCGCTGCCGGCAAGCGGGCGGAACGCGACACGGGGTGAGCGGCTGGTGAACCGAAGCCAGCCCTCATTCTTGCTGTGCTCCCTGGTTGGGGCGACACCCACCCAGTTTGCCACGTGGGCCTTGGGTCTGCGCCAGGGGGCGGTCCTTGGCAAGATCCCAAAGCGCCCCCGCGGAAGGCAGGTCGGGGTCCTCGAGGAAGCCGAGGAGAGACTCCAGCGAGTGCCGGACGGGGGAGCTCCCGCGTTCTGGGCCTGTGGCGCCGGCGTGTTGAACTCAAGTGAGGCGCAACTGGCTGTCCTGGGAATCGACGCACAGATGCACGACAATCCGCGCGGCAGCTAACCGCTTGCCGCTCCAAGTGGACTCGGGGGGGGCAAGAGTCCCCTGGGATCTTGTCAACGTAGACCCGCTTCAGGAAGGGGGTGAGTGGGCGCCGCGGGTGCCCCTGCCGTACTCGTCCGCAAACTCCTCCCAGAGGTCGTCCACGACTGGGTCGAGGTCCCGCGCCTGCTCCGCCAACGTGGCCTCGATGGGTCTAGTGACGCCCAGCTTGGGGGCGAAGGCGCTTCTGGGCTCCAACTCGCGGGCTAGGGGGGGCCCGGGCAGCGCGGCGGGGGCCGGGCGGGGTTGGGCGCGGAGCGGTCGGGGTCGATCAGGCTGGCGTCGCGGTCGAGAAGCGCGTCGATTGCGCCAGGCCGAGCGCCCTAGGCGTAGACGAGGCAGCGGCGGCATAGCCAGGCGGCGCTCCAACGACGGGCGAACCGAGCCACTGCGCGCTCATCCCAGGGGGGGAGACCGCCCAGGTTGATGCCACGCGCCTCGAGGTCAGACGGCCAGATGAAGCAGCCCGGCGCGGGGGGGCCAGCATTCCAGCAATGGGGCGGGGCCTCGGAGGAGCAGCCGTCGCACTTCGCGGCGTAGCGCCCCGTGTCTCTGGCAGAGTTGCCGAATCTGTCGCCCAGCCAGGCGGGGGGGGATAGCGGCGTCGGCGACCTCGGGGTCGCGCAGGCGCGCTGGCACGAGCAAACAGCCCCCGAGACCTCGTAACGGGGTCGGTGCCGGCAAGGCGAGACCTTTGGGAATGCGCCCGAGGGAAGGTTGTCGGCGGGGGGGGCCGCGGCGGGGTCCTTGGCGCGCTGGAAGGGCCTGGGCCCGGTCGTGGAGAATGCTCCCGGGGGGAACGCGGGGGCCTTGCTTTCCCATTTCAGTAGTTCAGCAGGGGCCGCGCAGCCACGTGCAATCCAGCCCGTTGGCGTGAGCCTGGCGGCGGTTCTGGGCAAGGTGGGCGCGCGCGGCATCGTTCAACCAGGTGCCTTCCGCGGATTTGAAGCCGGAGTGGAAGCGCAAATCGCGCCGAAACCGCGCCGATTTCCGGTCGGGGCTGCAGCGCCAGGTAGGCGCGGGGGGGGGGCGCTTTGTCCGGGGGGGCCAGGGCGAAAGAGAAGCCGCCACCGAGGAAGGCGAGGCTGGCGCTTCCGGCCTTGGAGCCTAGCCCCTCGTCGCTGCCCGCGAGGTCCTGGTGGGGGGCGCAGATGCTGCGCTGGGCGGCTGCAAGGGTGTCCAGCGCAGCCGGCTGAACGATCCTCTCGAGGACCAGCATCGGGGCCTTCAGCTTGAATCGGAACTTCTCCATGAGGCCATTGGTGGTGGGGCAGCCGGCGGCCAGGGCTTCTGGGTGATGGTGGGGAACCAGGATGAGCCGTCCGACGAGTGCGATGAGGGCTTCGAACTGGCCCCATAAGCGGCGTAGGTCCGTAAGAGTAAGGCCCCACGTCTCGGCGAATTCGGTCTGGAAGAGGGCGCGGTCGTTCTGCCAGGGACAGCAGAAGCCGAGGATGGCCTCCAGGATATCCCCGGAGGCGGAGGGGTCGGGGAAGGGCCACATGAGCGACCGCGGCTCTCGTTTCATGAGCATCGTGACCATGAGGGCGTAGCGAGCTCTCCCCGATGCCATGGGCGAGCCGTTGGGGCAAGGCGGCTCGATGGCAAGTGAGGGTGTCAGGTCCCTGGAGCAGGGACACCAGGGTGTCGAAGTCGGGGTAGACGACGGATGCAACTCCTGGCCCCATGCGACCAGACCTTGGGGACCTGATGCGAGAGGTCTGCCGGGGTGCACCGGCCCTTGATGTGCATGGACCTGCACGGGGCCACGGGGGAAGGTCGTCGGCGTGAAAAACGTGCGCTGGCGTCTCCCAGGGGGTAGTGAGGCCGAGCGCCCAGACGAGGGCAGCCCACGTCATGTTGTACACCAGGTTGCCTGCGTCCATGCCGAGTTCGACGTCAAAGAGGTATCCTAGGTGGCTCCACGCTTTCTGGTCAAACTGTGCGGGGTTGGTGGGGACGTTCTTGGTGTTGAATTTGTGGGGGTGAAGTAGGACCAAGAAAGGACCACGGGCAGCGCGGGGCTGGAGAAAAATTCCTCCAGGCCCTTGTTGAGCTGGCCGCCGAAGGCATGCCAGGAGAAACCTGGCTGGTGGGGGCACGCGAACCGTCTACACTTCAAATCGGGATGACGCTATCATGGCAGGGTCCCGCCTCCTCCTCCTCCGCCTCTTCCCTCCTCCTCCTCCTTCCTCCTCCTCCCCTCCTCCTCCTCCTCCTCCTCCTCCTCCTCCTCCTCCTCCTCCTCCTCCTCCTCCTCCTCCTCCCACTCCTACTTCCTTCTCCCACGCGGTCCGCCTCTTCCCTCCTCCGCCTCCACCTCCGCCTCCCTCCCTCCCTCATCCCTCCTCCTCCTCCTCCTCCTCCCCTCCTCCTCCCTCCTCCTCCTCTTCATCATCATCCTCCTCCTCTTCCTCCTCTTCCTCTTCTTCCTCCTCTTCCTTCCATTTCCCTCCTCCTCCGCCTCCCTCCCTCCCTCCCTCCCTCCCTCCCTCCCTCCTTCCCTCCCCTCCCTCCCTCCTCCCCTCCTCTCCTCCTCCTCCTCCTCCTCCTCCTCCTCCTCTCTTGCCCTGTCTCTCCTCCCCAGTCGTGGAGACCCGGGCGCCCCCCCCCCCCCCCCCCGCCCCCCTGACGGGTGGCGCGCGGCGGCCCCGCCCCGCGCGGCGCTGGGCGCGCGCCGCTCGGGGGCACGAGAAGTGGGCACCACAAAGTGAGGCGCAGGCTCGGTCGATCCTCGAACCTCGATCCTCGAGCCTCGAACTTCGGTCCTCCAACTTGAGAGCTGCGATCCTCGAACCTCGATCGTCGCAACTGCCTGCTCTCCGGAGCCATCCTTGCTCCGGGTTGCGGCTTAAGCGGGGCGCAGGGCTGTGGCCAGAAATGGCGCACACCTCTGAGGAAGGGGGGGAAGGCAGCAATGGAGGAGCAGGCAGGGGGGAAGAGGAGGGAGACGGAGGAGGAGGGAGAAGAGGAGAGGAGGCAGCGGGAGAGAGAAGGGAGGGATGGAGGGTGGAAGTGTGCAGAGAGAAGAGGGTGAAGAAAGAAGACGGAAGGAGGAGAGGAGGGAGGGATAAGATAAGAGAGAAGAGAGAAGAGAGACGAAAGGAAAAGGGGGATGATGAGGGGGAGGAGCAGACGGAGGAGGAGAGGGAAGAGAGGGCAGGGAGGAGGAGGAGGAGGAGAGAGAGGGAGAGAGGAGAGGATGTGATAGAGGGAGGGGTTCGCGGGGATGAAGCGCAGCGCGGCGGCCAACAAAATGCGCGACCCATGTCAGCAAGCAAGAATGAAAACGCTGCTCCTGTGCCCGCCCAGCCGAGAGGGCTGAAAGGACGAATCAGAAAACAGGGATATGGGGATAGGGAGCGCGGGAGCGAATCATCCATTGAGCGATGGAGCATGGAAGAAGATGCAGGGGAGGGGAGGAAGCGGGGAAGGCGGTAATCAGGGGAAGGTATGGAGGGAGGAGCCTACGATGGAGGAGAGAAATCTGGACATCGGTGGAGGGAGGAATGAGGAGCAGGAAGCATAATTCGCCGGCCCAACGGGCCAGGGCGTGCTAAGATCTCCGGTAACTGGTTAACAGTATTAACAGTATTTCTAGTTCGCGCGCGTGGGGCGGCCCCTGGGGGTCCCCCGGCGAAAAG